AAAATTTAAAAATGCACATAGAAGTTATTATGTAATTTTGATCTATGTCATTTCATCAACAATCACTTTATAGACACTTGTTCCTATCAAAATCAATAGACTGTGAAATCCAATAAAAAATTAATCTACCAGGTCTGTTTCCACTATATACATCTAATAGTTTATGTTTTCGAATCTAATAACCTCTCAGTAATAATAATAATACAAAGTCTGTTAACTGCATATAGGTTTTGAGAGGTCCGCAGTATATATTACAGAATTACATAATGCACAATGCGACATAAAGTTGCATTATGTGATGCAAAGCCAAAAAAACTTACATTCGTACATCTCTAGTAATAATCCTTTATACTACAAGTAATACAATCGGTTGCCAAGCAACAAAGCCAAATTTTGATTCTTTCGGCCGATCTTTAACTTAACGACATTAACATTTTACTTGATGTTTATTTTCGGGTAATTTCTGGTTATTTCTAAGTTTGTTTAAACTTATGAATTTCGATTTGTTGAGTAATGCTTTGGTGTATCCTCGTGAGCCGCCACATTGCCCATTTTATCCAAAAGGAAAATGTTTATTCCAATATTTTTATAGTACTAGTGCTTGAGCGTTACGTATCAGTTCTAGCACTGTTCCCAAAAAATTTTTTTATCGAATTCGTGTTGTAGGGCTTTGTATTTTTTTAAGTAAATATTTGCAAATTATTTGCTTTGTTTATTTTTGACAAATAACAATGATTTGTCTCACGTGAGTTTACTGCGTTCAATTTTTCATTTCTTGTATTGACTGAAGTATGTTGTGGTAATGACACATATTATTTACTGGTAAATAAGCTAAGCGTATCGTAATTTTAAAATTATTATTATACCTCTTAACCAAAATGCCTTCGCATTACGGTGTTCAATAAACTAATTGTTAGGGTCATATATGATGATCATTAATTTCGAATTTTTTAAAGGGTTATTTCACATATGAATTTGTACTAATTTAGGTACATTTTTCTACACAACCAACAAAATTGTAGATGTTTTTTTTTAAACTGTAGTTCTAGACTAGCTCTATACTGTAATAGAACTGGTCTTTTAATAACTTTTAATAAAAATTGGATTAATCTTTATTAATAATTAACATAGTTTATTAAAAAAACCGGTTCTATTACAGTATAGAGCTAGTCTAGAACTACAGTTTAAAAAAAAAAATGGTACAATTTGTCTGTTAGTTGTGTAGAAAAATGTACCCAAATTAGTACAAATTCACATATAAATTTATATGTGAAATTACCCTTTAAAAAATCCGAACTTAATGACCCTAACTATTAGGCGTTTGAGATTTTTAAACCTTTGAACGAAGATATCTTGACAGCCAACATGCCAAATTCGATGACTTTTTTTTTATTTGAATCTACGGATTCGTAGAATTCAAATAAAAACAAAAAGTTTATTGAATTTGACTATGTGGTTGCCAAGATATCTTCGCCCCAAAAATTTTGGCACAGTTCTGTTTTGATAGACGTTTTGAGGTTTTTAAGATTTTGAGCGAAGATTTCTTGACAACCACCAGGCCAAACTCGATGGAGTTTTTATTTGAATTTTACATATCAAATAAAAAAATTTTATCGCATTTGGCTTGGTGGTTATCGAAATAATTTCGTTTAAAGTTCAAAAAAAAAAACCTTTAATTTGTATGGGGGTATGGATAGCAAATTTGGGGTACAAATATCACACCCTTATTCAATAATATTCAACACATTTAGAGATTTATTTATTTATCGTTCTTTAAATTTTTATTTAGAAATAGAGGGTATTAAGTTTAGTAAAAGTTTAAGTAATTATAAAAAATATGTAAAAAAAAATTAAGCAGACAAATTTGGCTATTAGATGGTTTAAGAAATAAGGCATAATGAAAGTTATATAAAAAATAATGAATAAGCCATATACCATATGAGCTAATTAGACATACTTATTATATTTATATATGGCCTGGGTATATAAAATTAGAATCATTCACCCACCAATTTTCTCTGATATAGAAACCTTGTTCTAAATATGGTGTAGATAATAAATCACCTTGACATTCATCACTACTCCCATCAGATGGGTAAAATTTGTGAAAACACGAAATCCATAAACTTTAGATCTCTCTGCATACATTAAATTTCCTATGCTAAAGTATCGATTTGAATCAAAAATATCAATAACATGATGGTTTTCTTCAACAGATAATTTAAAATCAGGATACATTGAATAAAACAATAAACATTTATAATCGCCTTCTGGTATTTGAACCATGATATTACGATGATCTCCAATATCTGGTTTATAGAAAGCAGTATTAGGCACCCGCCAATCAGCTTGAGAAGGATCAGGTTTCAAATTTTGATCTGTCTCAAGATAATCACCTAGACCACATTCATCACCATAATTATAGTTTTCGAAAACCAAAAAACTATATACGCTATTTGTTTGTGCACACATTTTGTCTCCCAAGCTAAAGTAACCCTCAGTATCTGTATTATTAATATAAAAAGTATTATGTGTAAAACTTAATGGATTACCAGAATCATAAGAATTAGCAGGTAACCCTCTGGTATTTGTATATAGATAGAAATCCCACTTTCTACATCTTGTCGTGTCTTGAGATTAGTATAAGTACTTGATGGGTTATGTGTCAAATTGTTATCTTTTGTAATAGGGGTGGCTAATACTTGAAAAGAAATAAAATCCTATTTATACAATAAATGAGTTAAATATTAATCATTACTTAACTACTGCATGTTAAGAATAAGACACTTACTAGTAGAATATATAAAATTAACAGTCTGGCTATTCTTTTAACTTCCATAATTAAACCAAAATTTAGTTTGATAGATACTTTGTTTCCTTATAAAAAATGTTGTTCTAAATTTATCCAGAATGGAGTCGATTTTCCAAACAAGGGTTTATTTTTATATTGTATGTTTGTATACGTACTATCGTGTAACATCCAACTATAAATGTTCAGAGCGGAAGTCGATTTTCAAACCAAAAAATTGGATAATTTTAGAATGATTCCAAGAGACTTTTTTTTTTATAGGGTTATTATCTTAATAAAATCTCAAAAATAGAAATTAATTACATGAGAGACAATGTTTAGCAAAGAATGTAAAGCATTTTTAATAGTGATACGACCCCATGGTCCGGGTCGATCCGAAAAAGTTCGGGCCGGTCAAAAGTAGGAATATATAAATATTATAAGAATATTTAATATAAAAAAACTCTAACCTTACCTGCCAACTTTTTATGCAAGCAACTTTCTGATCAGAATTGGTATCTAATCTATATCAAGTAGTTCCTAGAGATTCCTAGAGATACTAATTTATTTTAGTATTCTTTGAGAATTATAGCAAATAAGTATTTTATATTGTTAATAGTCTATGCACTCGAACATACAGAAATTTACGGTCCTTACATTTGTTGTTGCCAATTTATCATTTAAATTAATCAACTAAATATGTAGCTCAGGAACAGATGAATAGGTAATTCAAGATTTATTTCAAAAATAAATTAAAGTTTAAAAATTTTTATTCTTGTTTGAAATTCTGAAGCAGAAAATAAATAGTTATATTTTTCTGATAATAATTTATCGTCATATAAAAATTTATAGATCACTTATTTTGAAGCAAATAAGTTATTGATTTTATTGAAGAAGTTCTGAATTATTTCAATGTAAGACTGATTTAGAAACATTGAATGATTATAATTATCTAGTTATCGGATATAGTTATCGGATACAGATACTTAAATAGAATCGAATATATTATGATACAGCACAAACATATTGATACAATGTTACATCATATATTTTATAATAAGTAGCAGCACGACATTGTCGCGCTAAACCAGGTGGATAACCCCGATACAGAATAATTATACGTATCATATTAGCGGTGCTACTCCCTTTACCGACCGTCTTATCATCGAATTTCATTTATCCAACATTACATAGGGTCAAGGTTAGCGTTTGATTAATTGTGGATGTCGGCTAAATGAGCTGTCAGGGAAATGACTGTTGGTAAAGTAAGGCGGATCCAATATTTAGATATCGGATGCACAATTAAATTCAGTATATCTATATTAATATGAGCGCTATAATGAAACTTGTAAATTTTCATATTTTTACGATGGAAATTTTAAATGGTTGAATATAAACTATTTTATATTGAGTATTATAAAAAAAAAAAATGCGAATTACGTATGGCATATAATAATGTTAGCTTTCATTTTTTTCTCTTCAAATTTCTAAAATATTATTGACAACTATATAAATATTTCTCAATTTACCTTAGATTAATATAGCAAGTTTTACAGCAACTTATTTTATACATTATTATTTTTTTGCTGTTATTAAAAAATTTTAATAGTGAAATTTATACTGTGCATAAAAACTTTTAATAGTGTTTTCTGAAAACACTAATTTCGAACATTTATTTTGGTTATCTGTACTATGCTTTGAGGATACCTACAACTATTTGCACTGCTCTAATGAAAACATATTCGGATCTGAAATTTTCGAACATCGACGGGAAATTTAAAAACCATGCTAAACTAATCTGCGATAATTTCCTAATAATATATAACACCGGGCCAGTTCGGTACAAACTTTAAAATAGTGTATTTCACACCCCCATACCATACTAATCTGCGTAGTTTAGAAATGATCTTAATAGATAATCATTATTAATACAGGCAATATAATGTGAACAAACGAATAAGAAGTGAGCAGCTCATATTGAATACTTAGATCAATAAATAATTACTACACTTAAGGACTAAGTCAATATGAATAAAAGTTAAATGAGAATAATTAATATCTTGATGCTCAATTGATTATCGCTATATTGGACTCAAGTTATTTCTAAATCGGTGAAAATTTAAGAATAACGTAGGTCAATTCTAAATTGTGAAACGACATCGAACATAATCATTAAATAGTTAAATTTTTAACAGGCTCATTTTCGGAATTATACCGATTCCATCTTTTGGAATTATTTTTTGGAAGTATGATGAAGGTGACTATATGAGGTCTTTGCCTTGAAAATGACCTTGCGGGACTATGTAGATTTTATGAATACAAATCAAATAAACCTTCTTTTATTTTGTAGAGCTTAGTAATTTCTACAAAATAATACACTGGCAATCATAAATAATGCAACACGTGATTATTTTTATAATAAAACATAGTAACTTTGGAAATTTTCAT